TGTTCCTGATGGCCATAGACTGGATTATAAAGATGTCAAAAGAGAAAAACAGTATACAGTGGACACTGTGGAGCCAGCTGGATGACCTGGACTTTGCTGACGACCTGGCCCTTCTTTCTCACACACAACAGCAAATGCAGGATAAAACCAACAGTGTTGCTAATTTTTCTACATGCCTGGGCCTGAACATACACATAGGGAAAAGTAAAGTTATCAAAGTTAATGCAACAAGCAGTAACCCTATTACATTGACAGAAGAAGCCCTAGAAGAAGTGGAAAGATTCGCCTACCTTTCCCGTATTGTTGATGAGCAGGGCGGGACAGAAGCAGACATAAAAATAATGACGGGCGACGCAAAAGTATTCTTCAACCAACTACAAAATGTTTAGAGTTCTGGAAATTTAACCCTTGTAATATCAACACATTGTAAAACATGTTATAGTCTATCGAGCTGAGACATAAATAGGAAGAAAATACAGTAATTTATAAACTCATGCTCTAAAAAGTTCTTTCGAATTTGCTGGACCAAAACCATCAAAAACGGGAATGGACAAAACAACTGCCGACTGAAGAAAAGATCCTCTAAAGAATTTGAAATGGATTGGCTACACACTCAGAAAACCTGTATCCAGCATTACAAGACAGGCCCTCACCTGGAATCCACTGGACAAAAGGAAACGAGGTGGAAAGACAGTTGGAGAGACAAACCAAGGACAGAGGTGCCTATGTTCCAGGGGGGGGGGGGGGCTGACAGGCAAGCAAATAATATAGTCAAATAAATACAAAGTTTATGGTTAACTAAACTACATTAGTGTTTTTGCACGTAAACATAGCAGAACATCTTTTTGAGTGTATATTTTAACGTCACGGTGTACCGTTTCGAGAAGCATAATGTATCGTTCTCAACAGGACGACTTATATTTATACATGATGAATAATCAAGTTATTATACCAAATCGCACCTTAAAATGTATTAAGGGATCTTTTATCATTTGTTAAGTTAATAATTTACATGTAAAGTCAAACCACCTGTGATCAATGATCCACTGTGAACAAAACATTTATTTTGTAGTCAAAGCAGCGTCGATTACAAAGCACCTATAGTCAAAAGCACATGTGGTCATAGCTCCATGTACCTATCTGCAACATTTAATGATAACCATTAAACTACATAGTATATAGATATTATAACTCACCAATGTTGAATTTCTTCTTCAAAAGTAACTCATTTAACGTTGAATGTTAACTATTGAATGTTTGTCAAATTCGTTTTACAGAGAAAAAAAGATTGCAATAGAAGTGTTTGACGGCTAAATCTTTTGCATTACGCTGCCATGTATCACGAAGATGCTTGCTGTGTTGATTCAGTTGTGCAAATGGCTGAAAAGGTTGGTATATCTAATTTTGTTTTAGCAATTACCAGCATTTATTTCATAAGGCAGAATATAATCTTAAATGTATAAATAAACTGATATTATAACGGTTATTAAGCCACGTGATTATTTATTTATTTTAAATATGTTTTATTATTATCGATGTTTTTTTAACATAATATATATTTATTAAATGATATAGATGTCAATTCAAAACAGTAATGAACAGATAATGGATAGTATTGGGGTGCTTGGAAAAGGTATTTTAATTTTGTTTTTGTTATAAATTTTTATTGATATTGGGTGTAATTTATTTTGTATCAACCATTTAGTTTGTATTATAGAAAAGAATAAACAATGTATACCAGCCTTTATACTGACTGCACCGTAGGCTCTATTGACCGTCAGTGAGCATTGTTCCTAACCCGAAATTCATAGGTTCTAACTCTCGGGCAGATGAGTTTCATAAGCTTTAGAGTGCAACCCCTTTAGGCGTTACAAATCCGAATTTAATCAGGAGTATAACTTTTAGTCGATATGTTTTCCAAAGCTCGGTTATTTTGGGTCTCTCATGCAAATCTTTAAAGGTAGCGCCTCTCCATTGGGTACATCAGCAGTTTTGATAGAAAATACATGGGCTTTATCTACATAAAACCCAGACATTAAGAACTTTTTTTCATGACGCAAGAATATAATTTCATAATATGGAATTTTTTTATTATTTAGCTACAATCTTTGAATAAACTTTAAAAAAAATAAAATAAAACAAAATATTGATAAGCAGATAAAGAGAAGAGCTTAATTTTAGTTGTCGCGGAGTTAAAGACTTATTATTAATTTTTTATTTTACATATCTTGTTTTTGAATTCTGTTTGATGTTTTGTAAGACTGGGAGAAAGGTGAAACGCCCATTGGAAGTGGAGGTTATGGAACAGTTTATATTGTTAAATCTTTGAGAGACAACAGTGAACCAAAGTATGTTGTCAAAGAAATACTTGTCTTAGAAAACGACGTTAAATCATTGGTGAGTTAATAGCTGTAGACCTAATTATATTTATTCTTTGGAAAGTGGAGACTTTATAAAAAAAACAATAACATAGAAATGCTGTTATTGAAGCATCTAATATTTATTTTAAAATTAAAATTGAATTCATAATTTTGTTGTCGAGAACTGCAGTCAGTGATTTATACCAAAACAGCTATGACCTTTGAGACATGCGCATTAAACTGAATGACATTTGTTTATATTCTTATATTCAAATGAATATTAGGAAAGCTTTAGAAATGAGACAGAGATATTAAAAAAACTTGGTTCCCACAAAAGAATCGTCCCGTTCATTGGCGTAAGTGAACGTAGCAACTACATGTCAATATTTATGGTATACATGAAACATGTAAAACATCAATAATTGCTGTTTAGTAGTGTTTCAGTTTGCTATAGTCAAGCCTTTAGGTTTAATACATATTTACGAAATGCACTAATACAAATAATCCAAATCTACTTTACAAAAGATAAACGTTATAAATCCAGTCTTGTTAGAAAAATCCCTGAACGTGGTTCCAGTTCATACTTCATGGTTCTGTGCTGTGATTTCATTTAGTTGTAGAATCCAATAGATGGTAAACAAATGCGTATAAATCTTTCAGATAGCAGAATAAACATATTAGTTTTCTTCTGGGCGTTATTCTGTAAAAAAAAAATACTTGAGGTAAATAATGTATAATTCTTGTGTGGATTAAGAAATAATCGCATTTATATCAATTAAATAACAGTTAAACGTTGTGTGGATATTTTATTAACATGACTTTATAATAAAAGGCATTTCATTTATTAGGTTAGAGAGACTTTTAGAATGTCGTTTTAAAATATGCTACATAATTATTTTAATTAGTAGGCCTACAAATTAAACGCATTGTACACGATCCTTTCTTAAGGGGTCGTTACGAGCATATTCGCAAAAGAAAAACGGCCTAAGTGAAGAAGAGACAAGACACTTTACAAAGCAGATTTTAAAGGGGCTGGAGTTTTTACATGGAAATAAAATTATTCATCGAGATGTAAAAGGTAGGTTTTTTGTTAAAATTGTAATATTACGATACTATGTAGGACTACACAGTTTATTAACGCGACTGCTAACACTAACAAATAAGTCAAGGGTATTATTTCTTAAAATAGGAATAACTGATCATCAGTGGCAAATGAAAGTGGGGAGGGGGAGGACAGTCAGCCGATCCTACAGTAGTCAAGAGCTCCCGATGTTTATTGTCACCTACTGTTTTCTTACAAAAGATAGTTAATTTCACTGTACCAAGTGCTTGCTGAACTTTACTAGAAAAACACATTTTGAATCAAAAGCGTATTTAAAATATCAAATAAGTGCATACAAGGGTGAAATGACCGGACCCCGAAAGTCGGATCTATAATTTGCCAAACCTTATAATTCTAAGACGTGCAAATGTAAGCATAAAATATTTATTTACACTTTTTTTTCTTTCTGTCTTAAGTTAAAGTATTATAATATATACATTCCATGGCATGTTAAGATGATTCTGTGAAGCAAAATCTCGTGATAAATAATCTCTGACAAAAAATCCCACATAGAGACAAAATATTTTTAAACAATCGATATAATTTATGTATTTTTGTACATGTATATTCTTACGCACAATCTTTATTTAGTTCTATTTCGGAGAGTGATAAGTGTATAAGGCAGTAGTGAACAATGTAATCGGTTTTAGAGGATAATATATCACTAAAATATACAGCAGTTCATGGTTTTACATAAAAGCTTACACGCTGGATAGAAAGGCTTATATGACATAATAATAAAGCCATCATACTAGTGAGAAGTGAGATATGTGTCGTCAAAAGTAGAACTGGTTAATGGGAAGTTGGACAGCACGGAAAAAGAGAAATAACCACAAAAAAACAGGAAATATGACATTTTAAAATTTCACAATAGGCCTAGTATTTTATTTCTAATCTAAAAAGGTGAGCAGATATTTAATTTCCAAAATTAACAATTTTATATGTATATATATATATATATATATATATATATATATATATATATATATATATATATATATATATATATATATATATATATATATATATATCGTATCCAAATATACATTTGGTATCTTAAAAATGTTGAATGAGCAAACTGATACCACAAGGTGCTAATACTTTAATAAAAATTCACATAGCAGTATGAGTTCATCATACTTCCACATAACAAATAGTAAGTTATTTGACTCTTCCGTAAAGTTTAGAGTAGCAGATAGGTAACAGTATTATTTTGGAGTATGCTAATGATAAAAACTTTAATTGTAAACATAGAAACTTAAAACTCCTAAGAAATGAACAGCTGTTAAAGGAGTTATTTATCTTGGCAGGATGACATTTGTTCCAGTGCATTAATAGTTACTCAAAGTTTGTGTGACTGGCTCAGTGCCGCTCAGTCCGTCTGTGTGCGCTCAATCGCTTAAGCCGAGTTACTGTAGTATTATGTGTTCATTTCGTCGTTTACTTAATTATTACTGCTTTGGTTAAATTAAAACAGTGGCTGCGCACTTGACAGAGACGTAGCGACTGCTCACGAACTTTGGCGCCCCTAATATACATACATATATATATATATATATATATATATATATATATATATATATATATATATATATATATATATATATATATATATATATATATATATATATATATATATATATATATATATATACATGTGTGTGTTAGGAAACGATTTCATAATTACCGTGAATGATTTTCGTTCTATATAACTTTACTGGATGCAAATTAAATTATCATCAATGCGACATGGGTATTTCCTTGATTAATTAATGAAACAAGCTGGAACCCAATGGACACAACGTTTGCGAAGTCTTGGATTTAACAGATGTGTCTGTCTTCTCGCAAATACTCAACAACACACTCGTACAATGCACTTTAATACAACTGGTTTATTTTACAAGTGATAAATTATCTACTCACTCCAGTGTAAATCTTTCCGATTTAGTTAGCAAAAAAGCGCCACTTCCCCACCCATCGAGAAAAAAAATTGAAAGCGGTTTTGGCGGTCGCCGTTTCTTAAGGGTATTTTTTACAGTTACACAATCAAGGTAGAAAACACTTAAATCACTTTGTAAAGACTTGTAGCTGTTAAATTCCTAAGTTTGACTTTTTATAATTAAAAATTGCAGCATAAATTGACCTTTTAAGTTTTTTTCTCATATTTTGGCGCCCCCTAGGATTGCTCCTGGGGCGTCCGCCCTTGTCCCCCAGCTTTGCCTCGGATTTTTTTGTGGCTATTAATGATTCCCAAATCGTTTCTTAGTTTCACAGATCGCATAAAAAAGCACGATTTAGACAGTGAGATGCGAAATGCAACAAAATAGCCACTCCTGATTTCTAGGCAACATATTGTTAGGCCCCATCTAGTCAAACACTCAAAGCCGCGGCTTCTGTGTGTCTGTGGAACTGCGACACTGGTGTGAAATTATTAAATAGAAGTGACTCAAGTCCACAGGCACAAGCCGTTGAAAATTTGTTTTGGAAAATGCATAAGCTCCTGCGGGACATTTAGGCTTTATAAAAGGCCCCGGGCAGTAAAGCTTTTGACAGTAGTGTTATCTGGTTTAATACTATTAAGTGATAATTAAGATGTGATCACTAAATGATCAATTTGTGTATTACAGGGGACAACGTTTTATTGGAAGATGAACGTCATGTCAGACTTACGGACTTCGGCATTTCAAAAAATCTACGAGATGTTTCCAGTACATCAACATCCGGTGTCGGCACTGCAAAATGGATGGCACCAGAGGTCATGAATACAGGAGATGGCAAGCCTAAATACAATGAAAGAGCAGATATATGGTCATTTTCGATGTTTATTTTGTTGCAAACATTATTGTAAATATTTAACATTTAAATAGGAAAAATTTGGAATGGACGACAAATAAATTACACGTATTACAGTATGGCTAACTGATCTTTTCAGATAAAGATAAATAACATTGTATAGATTCTGCACAAACATAACGTTAAGACTAAAGTGCAATGAAACCTACAGAGATAAAAAATAAACACAATAATTGTATGGTTATTTTCTGAAAGTTTGTTTTCTGATTACCTATAAAATATAAATATAATAACTAATAACCATACATATATTGTATTAATTGGTAAGGATATATGCGTATATTAAATAAACATAATGCGGAGATTCACATACATATGCAGCTTACAATATATAAATAATAGTACAGAGTAAAGTTAGTATTTAAAAAAATATATCTTATTAAACGTCTGTTTTGTTTTTGTGTTTTTATTTTTTATTCACAATCAAAATTTTGAAAATAACTATTTTCTAATTTAGAAACACACACTGAATAATCATAACACACACAACATGTAATTAGCAATTTAAATAGCGGAATTATTATTTCGGTTATGAGCAGTGGCGGAACTAGAAAAAAAGGGCCACCCCGCAAAAAAAAATTTTAGGCCCCCCCCTATATATGTATATATATATATATATATATATATATATATATATATATATATATATATATATATATATATATATATATATATATATATATATATATATATATATTCATATACAATAACATAATACGAACATAGGATACTCGTTGCTGTCCTGTTCGAAATTTGAAAAAAAAAATCAATTAAAAGATTTTTCAACATCATGTCATGTGTGTAAGTCAGGGGTCGGCAACCGCATGCATCTCTTTTGATATCAAGATGCGGCTCTCCAGCTCCTTGCACAAATACTAATAATCTTAATAAAAAATAAAATATTTGAAATAAAAAAATGTTAGTGGCTCTTTAAAACCAGGGAAAATTTGAAAATTGTAACTTTTGGCTCTTCCGGTTCAAAAGGTTGCCGACCCCTGGTGTAAGTGCATTAGCGTGTTTTGTGAAAAACCAGTGTTAATTAATTTTTAATAGAAGCCCTCGTTGAAATTTTCGGTCAAAATAATATAAAACATGAAAGCTTTGTATAAGTAATGGTGTCTCGTGTTATGTTTATTTTTAAGTTTTTTTTTTTGTAATTATATTATTAATGTTTTAAATATTATTTATTTAATACATTTCAATACATTTCCTTTTTATATAATATCAATCTTTAGTAATTACTTACAAAAAATAATAATTAAGAGAAGTAATTTCTTTTTAATTTGTTTAGTACAAATCTATTAAAAGGAGCTTATGATCACCCCTATTTGACTATTTTTTAAAAAAGGGAAATAAGTCATGGTTTGAACATTTGCTTATCTTTGATAAGTTTAATTGTAGAATAAAGACTCGGCTTTCAAAGTTGTTAAAAAACGAAGGGAAAAAGAAGATACAAGAGCGTGAGGTGGTGTCTATAGATCAAAGATAATCCAACCGCAGCTACGGTAATTTTTTACAAAACAACCATCAAGTCAATAATGAAAGAAAATTTACTTTTTTTAACTATTTTAAACTATAAAAAAATGTATTATGGTCGGCTCTGGGCCCCTAAATGGCGTGCCCCCCCCCCGCATTGCGGGGTCTGGCGGCACTGTAGTTCCGCCCCTGGTTATGAGTAATTGCTCGTAGTTAAATATAATCTAATTGAATACATACAACTGTTAAAATTGCCGGAAATATAGGTAAACTTGAGTATACACAACTGAGAGTAATTTTTTTTAGATCGGAATTGTGTAAAACAAATATTTGGTACATTTATTTTATAACTATGTCAAAATGAATGTAATTTTGAAATCGCACTATTATAAATGGGTACAAGATTTAGAGAGATAGCGTCCTTGAGTCCACCCAACTCTGATGGGTACCTAACTCATGTAAGGAAAATTATAGGTGGCTGGGCATAGTGCTGACCACACTATCTCTTCATATGCCGAGGTCACATAAACAAGTGAACTCTACTTCACTTGTCCTATGGACCGTCAGGTTTGATAAGGGAACTTTTGTTTTAACAGACCTAAGCTTCAATATATGCACTTTTTATGTTTTTCAATATAATTGAAGGAAAGTATTTGTTTTTCTTTAAAGGAGTGTTGGCTGCACGGTAATCGAGATGATGACAGGACATTCTCCATACAAAGATATCCCGAATCTGCTCCAACTTATCGAGCTAATTGGTAAAGGAATTGCACCTACGTTAGGAACAACTATTGTTCTGTCAGCAAACCTCAGTGCCTTTTTACAGAAAACGTTGCAACCGACTCCACAAGATCGACCTTCGGCAAGAAATTTGCTTGACAGTGACTCTTTTTTAAATCGTAAGTGTACTATACCCGTGGCCAAGTGTATATTGTAAATTGTTATTTAATTACTTATTTTAATTTTAATTTTATCTATCTAGAATAATTATAATCTTGTACGTGTTATTGTTCAATGTTTAGAATCGTTGATATTAACCTGGTTAGAAAATCTACTCATATGAAATAAAACCTATATGTTATCAAATTGTAAAGATAATATGGTATTGATACATAAACATAGAAGAAGTACATGCAGAATAAATTTGGAAAGTAGAGAAAAAAGTGTCTGCCGTAAAATTATTGATACAAACGCACATAAGACCAATTTTCTAAATAATATATTCCTTTATTTTTATTATTTGAACAAAATCAGCAACTATTTAACTTTCAAAGTTACCACTAACAGTCATATAACTCCGAGGTTGCCAATATATCCTCGGGCACTGTAAATAAAGGACGAACCTACAGAGACGTTTATGATTTCTCTATTGTTTTCAAGGAAATGCTTCAACCTGAATTATTCTATGTCATAAACAACCACATACACTTCATCTAACTCACCCTGTAATGCCTGCCGGCAAAAAACAAATGATCGCTTTTTCTTGCTTATGGTTTCCATCAGTTTTTTTCGTCTCTCACATTTATTCAACTCAATTGATTTACTATTAGCCACGTATCACACACCTTTAATAGGAATAGAAAAATAACCCATATCAAACATCATAGATAACAAATCAACTACTAAGGTCTAAGGACAATCAAATATACAATTATTGTGTAATGGTGTCAGTCACCTTCCTCAACACATTTACACACACAAACTTACATGCACACACACATACACGTAAGCTGTAGTATAATAATTTGCTTAAGCGAATGATGTGTAGATTTGAAAATTTTCATTGTGGTGTCAACCAAATTAATTTTGATTTGGTGTCACCCCACCAATCTTTTTGTTGATAGTCGTCATTGTATGCAAACATTATATAAATCCACCTAGAAAAAGCATTTAGGGGCCTAAGTCTATCAGTTAGAGTTATTAATTCGAGTGGAAAAAATATTGTATTTCTAGTAAACTATATTTTTGGTCAGGGGCGTAGCGATGGGGGGGGGGGGGGGGAGGCGGGGGTGCGGACCGCACCGGGTGACACCATTTAGGGGGGTGACACCAAGGCAAAAAATAGCAAAATATATAGAGAAAAACTTGAGGGGGGTGCAAATCGAAAGTTTGAGGGAGGGGTGCAATTCAAAAACTTGAGGGGGGGTGCAAATCGAAAGTTTGAGGGGGGGGGGTGCAAATCGAAAACTTGAAAGTTAGTCACCGGGAAGGGTCGCAACGCCCCTGGGAGGGTGACACCATTAAGTGCCGCACCGGGTGACACCCGACCTCGCTACGCCACTGCATTTGGTGTCACCTCCCTGCACCCCAGGCTTGGCTTGACGTGTCAGTTTTACAATTCTTAAGAAAACCTTTTCCTCAGGCAAATTTTAAGTGTACGTCCACTCCCCCCCCCCCCCTACCCGGTGATAGCATTAAACTGTCCACAGGTAACACTAACGATGTTCACCTACAGTCGGTTATAAGTACAGCTGGATGTTGTAGTGCACGGGTTCCCAAACTGGGGGTCGCGACAGGGCCGCGAAGGGCTTTGTAGGGGGTCGCCAACTGGTGTACTAAACTTTAGCAATGAGAAACAAAACACAAATATTTAGAAGAATATCTGAAATTCAGCTTTACTAACATCACTGGAAATTAAATAGAGAAGAAGCAATGCGTACTGTACAATGTTGTTCTCAGTCACATATTTATGAAACCTTCATAACTAAAACGTCATTTGAGACGAGTCATTCGGAACACACCGAAAAAGAAATGGAGTTCTCTCGTCGCCATGAAGCTAGTTGCAAACGTCAGAGACTTGATCGAACAGGAAGTTTTCACCAAGAAAACATGGCATTAGTGCAAACATCAAATGCCAAGCAAAAAAACAAAACAAACACAATAGGAGAAAATCTCATCAAACCCTGCATGTTGAAGATGGTGAAGTTAATTCCTGGGGATTCCAGTGCAGTAAAGATGCAACAAATATCTCCCCCTAATAATACTATTCATCGGCTTATAGCAGACATGTCCGTAGATGTTAAATAACACATTTTCAATGAAATCAAACTTTCACCATTGTTTTTTTTCGATTTTATAAATAAACAGACGTGAGTTCGTGTTCGCAGTTGCTGGTATTTGTCTATATTCATTCAGATGATAGTAAAGAAGAGTTGCTATTTTGTAAAAACAGCATGAAGAAAATAAATACGTTTTTTTGAAACTGGATGACTAAAATGGGTTAAAACGTCTGTGGGGGTTTGTACGGATGGTGCGCCATCTATGTTTAGTTCAAAATTAGGCTTTAATAAAACAGAAAAGATTTAGCTACCTAACCACAGCATGATTCACTAGTATGCTATCGCCATCAAGACGCTTCCGATTCAATTGCTAGTAAAAGTCGTACATTATATTAAATCTGGAGCCTTCAAAGAACCGATCAAAGACATTAACATAGATCACGAGGTTCTGCTTTTTTACACTTCAGTACGGTGGCCGTCAAACGAATTGAAATCTGAAATCAAACTGTTCTTGGAAGGGCTAGAGAAACAAGATATTTTGATATACTTTAACGACAAAGAGTGGTTGGACAGGGAAAATGAACGAATATTATCACTTTCCATGATAATCTCGGTGCAATTTTATCAAAGCTGCAAAATTGGCGAAGAAAATAAATCTTTGAAATATTGAAAATTTGAAAAAAATCTGCAGTGTGGTAGATGAATCTAATTGTTAGATAAATGTAAAAATTTCAAGAAGCGATTTCTCGGCATCTTGAATCTTTTGAAAATGAAATGCGGCGATATTTCTCTGAGCTGACGCATTACTCATTCCTTTCTTCCCTTGATGTTGCCAGAATTTGATTTGCAGAATGATTTCGCGTAAGATGAAAAACTGCACACACAATTTTGGTGTAGTATTCATCATTTATACCCAAACGTGAAATTGCTTGTCTTTTCGAGAATAGATTTTCAACACTATTCTCTGATTAAAAACAAAATTTGAAATAAATTTACTGTTGATAATGACATACGTTGGCGTTAAAAAAAAACGTAACCACGAATGTTCAGTAAATAGCAAACAATTTTACTCATCGTATTAAAACAGCTATTAAGAGTATTTCATATTGAAAGTCTACTAGAAAATTTTATTTTAGTGCTTATTAATTTTCTTACTAATTTCGGCTTCTTTAATTCTATGGGGTGTCGCAGGTCACTAACTTTTATAAAAGGGGGTTGCCACTCGAAAAAGTTTGGGAGCCACTGTTGTAGTGTTTTCTATATTGTTATCAGGTACACGTCATGGTGTCATCCCCCCCCCCCAAACTTGTTGGGATTTGTCAACTTTGCCTTTAATGTCAAAGACTTTAAAACTATAATTATATATATGGAAATTTTTGCCTTAGTGTCACCCATCTTAATGGTTTCACCCGGTGCGGTCCGCACCCACCGCAACTCCCCCCTCCCATTCCTCGCGACGCCTCTTGGTAAAATTGGTAGGGTAATATTAATAACAAAAGTTCATACATTTAGACATACTTTATAGGTTTAATTCAATCAAATGCTTAATATAATTAAATAAGTGCTTCAGCTTATTTAGCTTTATTTCATCGTGTTTTAATTTAACTTAATTAAATTTACAACAACTAAAAAAGGAAGAAGAAAAATGGGAAGAAGACATAGTTATATGATAGTTTATATACTTTCTAGTCACTTTATGTATTGAGAATATTTAGTTGGGATTACTATTGAAAACGATACTGCATACTAGATTTACAAATAATTTAAATATCTAGATATATAAATCTCTACGTGGTGACCATGCAAGACACCACCGAGACGTAAGCTGAACAATAGTAGCGACGGCTATTAGTGGCAATAATTTAGTTTTTAAACGATTTAAAATTAAATGGAGGTAACAACATGCTCTGCTTGCTCTTTTCCGTAAACTGTCGTCACAGACGGCTGCTTTGACGAGGCGGTGAGGGGGGTGAGTGGAAAGTGAGGGTGAGGATAATCGTCCTTCACTAGCTAGTGATAGTGTTTTACAGCAAAATATTTCCAATCACAGCATCAGTGGTGTCGAATTCACAAATTAGAAATTACTGAAAAATAGGGTCAGCTCGTGTTACTAAAAAACACCACCCACATTTATAAACGCGCGAGACGTGACAATCTTTAACAAGAAAATAAAAATTTATCTTACAACACTTTTTAACCTTGTCTTTATTTGTTTAGCTTTTTAAATTGTAAGTTGTATTTTTTTACAACTATATTTCTGTGATTTTTTCCGGTCATACCACAAAAGAGCCCCCCCCCCCCCTGGTCATTTAATATCATCATGCCTCCGGCTGATCATCGACTTCATGGATTACATAGCTGGTAATTTATTTATTTGGATGATTTGACATCCATGAATAGCATGCAGCGTGGTAATTCGTCTTTAAAATGACTGGTTTGTCAGTACATGCTCCAATATACTTCGTAAAATGTGCTCTGACATACTAATACATAAAATCTCATGTGCGCCCTTCTCTCTCAGAGTTTCTTCCAGGCATCTCTTCAGGGGGGGGGGGGCAAGCCTCCCGAACATTTTTTACCGCCCCACCGAACGAAATGAAATTTATATAATTTATATAGAAAATATATACTTTTAACAGTGTCCGCCCCCCCCCCCCCCCCCCCGAAGAAGGTCTACCGCCCCCCTCCCGAAAATTTCAAGTGCCCCCCCCCCCCCCCCGGGGAAAAAAGTCTGGAAGAAACACTGTTCTCTCTCTCTCTCGCTCTCTCTCTCTCTCGCTCTCTCTCTCTCTCTTCGTATTTCCCGCGGTTAGAAGATCAGTATCTCAGCGATATATGGGGAATGTAAAGATACGGAGTTTAGTTTTAATTATTTTGGATGTATTAAATGTGTATACTAAATTTTATTTAATGAAGGAAAATAAAAATAAAGGCAACCAGAAAAGACAAGTACTAAAAAAACAAAGACGTCACATGTCACATGTTTAAACTACGGAAAGTACACTACACTAATGGCGTTATCGTCCAATTGTAGAATATGAAGAAATGAAGTATTTCATTCAAATTTTATGTAGATCTATACATCTACTTATCAAGACATAGGCCTACGCTATGTATACAATTTTCTAGGCCTAAACTAATACAAAATAATTTAAAAAGCAACATAACTACAATTGAACAACCGAGTTTTAAATTGAATCATTTAAGTCTCTTAATCCGTGTGTGCATTTAATATGATGTTATTTTAACTAATAATGTATGTAATTCGGTTTTAATTTTTCTTATATGCATTAGTAGCCTATGTTATTTTCAATGTGTCGGATTTTTTAAAAAATCCAAATAAGTGTAATATAAAAAGATATATAAACGGGTACCCATGGCTAATATTTGATAAAATATCCTAAAGTTTTGACAAACAGCTCACCATTCATCCTACAACAGCCTGATAAATGGGTTTAATTAAAAGCGGATACACAAACATATCCGTACACATATGTATGTTGTTATGTTCTTGTATACAAGTGCACGAGAAAAATTATATACGTACTTGTAGAAACACAAATACGCGAACACCGGCAAGACTTATCTCCATACAATCACTTTCCACCTAATAATGTCGAGGTGTGATAAAGTATTAATTTTTGTTCTAATCGTGTAACCAGGTAAACATGCGTTGTGTATTTTTTTTCAGATGTAGACTATACAGTCGTGTTGGTTGGAAAAACAGGCGCTGGTTTAAGTGCTAGTGGTAATACTCTGTTGGGAAGAACATGTTTTTATGTCTCCCCTCAACAGCAAACAGTGACAAGAAGTGTGTGCAGTGGCAAAGTTAAAATAGACAAGGAGAAGTTCGAGGTTTTTGACACACCAAGCTGTGTGTCAACTAACATAGATCTATATCAGAATGAACATATTTTGTCAGTTATAGAAAACGCAAAAGATATTCTAAACAGAGTAAAGAGAGGAGTTACTGCTTTTTTGTTTGTTCTAAAATGGTGTTGTAGATTATTTCCAGATGATAAAAAAACAATCAAAATGTTAACAGATTTGTATGGACCAGAAGCTATAAACAAGTACGGCATATGTTTAATGACTTGGGGAGAAGATTTCGATATGGAATATGAGTGGAAACTTAAAGAACATAATTGCGAGAAACTTACACTTAATGAATGGTGTGAGCAACAAAAAGGAGCACTAAAAGATTTCATGTGTCGATTTAACAAAAGAATAGTTTTAATGTATAACAAGGGAAATCAAAATCAACGTGAAAGATGCCGAGCTGAAGTTTTTGATATCGTTAGACAACTTAGTCAACAACAAAATCCGTACACTCTAGAGGATTTTATGAGACACAAGGACAGTCGAGAAAAACGGAGACCTATACTTAGTTGTGATGTTTTTTAATTGCTCAATGAAGTTCCATACCTTGACGGATACATTAAAGGAGAATATGAGTTAAAAATTGTCCGTGAACTATTAGCCAGAGCTGATGAACTGATAGACCAAAAGTATGCACTAACCCATGGTATAGATGACAAAGAAGCAATTAAAAGAAATAAAAATAGTATTGAAAGATAGTATGATGGAGCATTCGAGTAAAATATCAAGGCTTTCAATAAACTATTTCAGGGAATTATTTTCAAATAAGAAAAATATGTAAACAGTTATTGTTATATACATCTAGTCTGGCATTTGAATACGCGATTGCTAACGTGAAAAATCAGACGGTTAAAACTAGGGCTAAATACAATAGACAGCTAACTGACCGAACAGATCTTATGTCATACAAGGGGATATCAGGCACTACGGCAGGAAGTAAAATGACTGGTTCTAACTGCTCGTAATTTAGTTACAAATCTGCTTGGTTAATGAACATTAAGATGGGGTGATATATCATCATGATAGTTTAATACATAACGTTTGTTTATAAATTTGTATTTGTATTATTTTATGTTTACTGTAGAGAGGGATTAATTGTTTGAAGCCATGTACATTTTATATTTCTTGTTAATGTCCAATCAATACACGTGTCAAGCGTTCTGAATACATGTATCACTTATCACAATTAACTAAAGTAATTTTGAGTTGTATTTTGATAATCTCTTAAGTGTTGGTGTGTTAACCAGTTAAAAATGGTCAAACGATATAAATCGTGTGTACTGCCTTTGCTTTTTAGCAGTGTTATAGTAATGCTATGGAAGCAAATCCAAAAAAGAAAAGCAGGCTGAAATCGTAGTCAATGGCCTCAATGGCGCATAACCAGTTGACACGTAACGCTTAACTGTGTTGGAGGCGTGGTCGAGTCGGCAAAAAGCTCATGGTTGATAAGTTCGAACAAAGTCTCGAGTTCAAACCCATTGGCAGATAAATCTCGATCCCCTTCAACACTAATAATTAAGAACGAAGAAGAAGAATGTGCTTACATTTCACAGAAAATTAGCTATTATATATTTTTAAAATAAATGCACTCCACAAACAAAGTTAAAATAGACTTAAGAATGCATACATTCATGCAGTGAAACAAGCTAAAAGACGCCAAAGCGTGTTATAGTTAACAATATGTTCGCACCAATATTGTTTAATGGAAACACGTGTGGGGATGTACCTTAAAAAAGCTATGAAGAAATAATTGTTTCCTTACCAGTATAATAAATAGTTTGCTTGATTTTTAACCGGCTCCTCCTCCTTAAGGGCTATTCGGATGTGCTTAGAGATTTTTCAGTTTGTTTTCTACTTTTGTACTATGTTAGGCAAATTAAAACGACTTAAGCCACATTCAAATAGTAAACGAATGATAGGTATAACAAGTTCGTCCGTTTTTATACAATTCAATAAACTTAAGTCAAGTAAACATTTTCATCATTAGAAAACAATTAACCATTCCTCGTTTTACAAAGTTACATTTATTTTACTGCGACAATATATAAAAAAACCAACACCAATTACAAACGCATTTCCAAAAGTTTATCAGTCTTAAATTATATGTGTGTTAATTATATTTGTATTGAATTAAAATTTCTTACACTAATTTTTAAGTAAAAGTTTTATTCTATTGTCATAAAATACATTCTTCCCTAATAGCTGAATACACAGGTGTTCATTTTATATAGTATACTATAAATAACATTCGCTAAAACGAAATTATTTAAGAATCGTTGGTAACGCTGGCGTTTTGTTACACGAAACAAGAATTAGAATGCGGTTGTGTATGAACAGTTTTACTAAGGATATGTTTTTGTTATATAAGTAGTAAAGTTCTCTTTCAAAACTGACATGGGGCAATTGAAGTATAATTCAAATGTTTCTGTGACGTCGCCACATGCAGAGATAGTCTAATTAGTACAATACCCAGCCTCCTTTATTTTTACTAACGTGGGTTAGGTAACCATAACATCTCAGGGATGTTCTACTGACTTCAACCCGGATTCGAACTCGTGACTATCGGGTTAGCTCTAACTCTAGGCCACGCCAACCGAACATTCTATATAATAGTTTCGCTGTCTGTCTATCTATCTGTCTATGTATCTGACAAGAACGCTCTAGAAAAAAAAGCAAAATAAAAACTTTCAGAGTAATACGGAAACGAAATGTGACGTCACATTTAGCATATAGTAAAAAATAATCTCAAGCCGGAGAGTGCACACAGTAATATGACGTCATTGATTCTCGAGTAAACATTGAATTAAAAAGCCAATTTTGTCTAATCTTAAAAGTGGTTTGCGTGAAAAGTTTCTTTCATACAATTCTTCGGATAGGGGCGTAGCCCATCCCCCGCGTAAGAACGTCTAAGCCGACCCCTCCCCCCAACTCAAAAGAAATGTCGTCATCGATACTCTATAATAAAATTAAAGCCTAATTCATGTGTCTAATCTAAAAAGTGGTTTGCGTGCAGAGTTTCTTTTATCAATTCTTCTGGTAGTGGCTAAGTGCGACACCAGTGTTTCTTTCAGACTTCTTCCTCCCCGGAGGGGGGAACTTTTTCTAATCTAAAAAGTGTTTAGCGTGCACAATTTTTTTCATGCATCTCTTCCTGTAGGGGCGAAGCCCCGCCCAGATTTTTCCTTTAGTTTGTATGATCTACAAATGCGACCAACGTTTCTTTCAGACTTTTTCCTCCCCGGCGAGGGGTGGGGGTACTTGAATTTTTTTTTGGGTGGGGGGCGGAGGTAGAATTTTCTGGGAGGGGGCGGACACTGGAAAAAGTATATAATTAAATTTCATTAAATGGGACGGTAGACATGTTTTGGGGTGTGTGTGTGTGTGTTTGGGGGGGGGGGGGGAGGCGGAGCCACCTCCTCCCAAGTAGAGTTGCCTGAAAAAAACTCTAAATGCAACTTTTGTCATGAATGAGATTAGATGCATGGTTTAGGGATATGCCTATGACTATATTTTGTATAAATTAAAGTACCGATTCTGGATAAAATCCGTTTTCAATGTCATTTTTCGTTTCCGGTTAAATTAAATTGATTTTGTTTTGGTTTTAGTTTAGAGAAAATAGACAGCACTATCAACCTAGCGCCCGTTGTATCCTTCCTCAACGGGCCATTTTTCTCGTATTATATATAACTATGTAGATGTGCTAGATACGCATAGTAGCCTGGAATATAAAAAAAACGTATGTCTTATGAAATAAAGAATCACTAAACCTATATATACATACATATATACAGACGCATATATATATGATATGTATATATATATTATGTATATCTACATGTTTTTTCCTTGCTTTCGGAATAAAATGTAATGCCCTATACGTATTTCCATTTGTTGCTACATTTATTAGCAGTAATAAAATGTAATATTGAGATATATTTTGACAATGTCCTGCATTTTAGTTTAAATTGTAGATTTTCTAAGGTGTTCGACTGCTTTGTATTATATATATTGCGCTCTTTTATTTTTATTTATAGAGTGTATCTTGTATTAAACATAACTATACGATACTTATAGTTTTATTAAACAATTTCTGTGTTTATATGTCTCTTTCTGCAGTTAATTGTTTTAAGCTTTTTTTTCATTTTCATTTCGAGCTGTTTTTACATATAACCTATAAGTAACGGATCTGTAAATATATGTAGCACATATGCTATTTTTTATGAGTTTATTTCTAATAAGAAAAAACGACGAACATTTATAAAATACATCAATACAAACAACGCTAAAATTAGAATGAAGACAAATTCACACTTCTGCTTTCACTTCATTTTCAAAGACTCCGTCGTTGTTAATGACGTATATCATTAAATGTATTGTTTTCCTCCATCAGATGAATCGAACAGAAAATAACGATCTTTACACTTAAATAAAATTTATATTGGTAAATATACATTGTTAGAAATGGTGCTATGGTTCGGTCAGCCCGGAATAGGATCCACTTTCTGTAATTTGTCAGTTCCTTCAAGACAAATGAAAAGAGATATTTCTCGTCGTCAGAAGAATCAAATATTAATTTATATCCTTTCCTTTTGCAGGATACTCTTATCGCTGAGCCGCATCCCACATCAATCAACACTCGTGTATTTTAAATATAAAGAAAACATATCCGAAATATTTCTTTGATAGTCGGTGTGGGAACAGTAGTACAATCGTGTAATTTCTATATAATGACATATGTTCTGTTTTCACATTTGTACTGGCGACTGGGGTGAGAGGGAGAGAGGGGGGAGATGACCTGCGAAGAAACACTGAGTGTGTAACGAGTCTATCGATCAGATGCAGTACATTAAAAAATAACAACTACATTATACAGCTAACAGGCCCCATTATGAGCAATTTTATTCCATGCCTATATTATTATTTAATGAACTAGATTGACACCCACTCTTAGACTATATAAGAAAAGAAATAAACATTAGAAGTAGTATGAACGTGTGCCTGTCTTTCACACTAGAAATCGTACGCTGTCTATGAACTTTTCTACCCAACAGCATGACTTAGTTATTGTAGTTGATCTATTTGTAGTTTGCTAAACCACTCTTAAGGTACAAGAAATAAATTATTTTGAATTTTACTATTTCAGGTATCTAGGGGTGTATCCACCTATTTCTAAGTCCCGGGCGAAGTATCAAATTTGCGCTCCCCACCCCACACCCAACGGGTAAGACTATATTATAGTTATTCATGTTTACGCAAAAAACCGCCCCCCCCCTTCCCGCATTCCAATCTGCGAAGGTCGTGTTTGCTTTCTACAAATCGCTGCTACTTAATATATTGTATTTAGTTGTAAACAGCTAAAATGACTGCGTATATGTAAGTGATGGAACTTGAGTTTTTTTTTTTTAGTTAAACCTCAATTGGCGCCCCGTTAATGTAGGCGCCCAGGTTGCGTCACCACACCCGCCCTCGCCTAGCTATGTTTTTGCAGTAATCCCATAAACCAGGGGTCTCCAAACTACGGCCCGCGGGCCGAATGCGGCCCGCGAAGTCATCTCATCCGGCCCGCGGAGATGTTTTTGTCTAAGGAAAAATCGTTTGTTGGTGATGATGACGAACTTTGCACAGAAAAATCAAAGACATGCTTGAAAGAAATTTGCCCTCGAACTGAAATTTGATAGCTAATGCGGCCCTCGGACTAAAAAGTTTGGAGACCCCTGCCATAAACGAACGTCTATCCTCTTGTTACTTTTAAGGTTGCAAATAAATGTTTGTCAGGCAAACACGACCGACTTTATGTAGACAGCTGCTAGACAGACAGTCATGCAACTATTATTAATTGAAAACAGCATAAAGTCAGGTTTGCATGGAACTATTTAAATTATTAAACTCTCACAAATAAAACAAAACAACATCTTCTAAACCCGCTGAAACGGATACAGAATGTACACAATTTGATTTGTTTTCTCGTGTGTTTTTATTTTATGATTACATTTTTCCCACTTATACCTTATTTTTATTTTTTTGAAAACTTTCGGGAAATCCCTTAACACAACTCGCGTTATGTAGGTTAGAGCGTTAAAAACAACTGCATATTTTAGACTAGATGTGTAATGTACACACACATTAAATGTTAAAGTAGCTGCTGGTAGGGTGCATTAACTTCTATTCTCGATTCAGTTACAACAATGGCTGAAAAGGTTGGTTTCTTTTTGTGTGTTTTTACAATTATTCATGTTTATCAAGAAAATATAAATCTAAAAGAATTCCTTATATAGCTCAATATCAAAGCAAACTTTTGTAACACTTTTTAGATCTAGATCTTTTTTTCGTTACTCTTTTCATTGAATGCTTATAACCTGACTCTTTGGCTGATACGTTTTAAAAAAATCACAATTATTTTGACTTCTAATATGACAATCATCAAATATTTATATAATGAGATATAGTAAAATACTCCCCCACCCTAAGGTGGCGGAGGTGGTGGGGAAGTAGGTCAGTAATCATTGACCTTGTGACGTAATTAGTGACCTAGTGACGTAATCATTGACCTGGTGACGTAATCATTGTCCTAGTTACGTAATTTTAATGCGTTTTAATTAGTTTGAATTTAATTTTTAAATTTTAATTAATTTTTATTACGTAATTTGATTATTTGTTTACTTTTTAATTATTTTTATTTTGTTAATTTTTAATTTTATTTTATAATTAGTTTGAATTTTTATTGACTAGTTATGTAATTTAATTACTTTGATTGTTTAATTTGTTTGTTTACTTGTTGTTTAATTTAATTACTTTGTTTATATTGTGTAATTTTTATTGACTAGTTACGTAATTAGTTTGATTTTTTAAATTTAAATTTGATTTTAATTTTTTAGATTTTAAATTTTAATTAATTTTAATTGTTTTTTACTTGTTGTTTAATTTAATTACTTTGTTTATATTGTGTAATTTTTATTAACGAGTTACGTAATTTTAATTTTTTTAATTTTTTAAATTTTTTAAATTTTTTAAAAATTATTAATTTTTATTTTTAAATTTGTTTATTTGTTTAATTTGTTGGTTTGTTTATTTGATTGTATGTATATTTAATAGTAAACGGAGAGGGATGGTCGGGGTTGAGGGTAGGGGTGTGCTAGCATGTACTAGAACATTCTTTGTATAACAGCCATTAACCGACCGTGCAACACCTGTTACTTATCGATCCGCGAAGCTTTACTTTTTTTTTTTGACAGCTACCGACCGAAGATTTATGGTTTTTTCTCGCTCGCAGCTACAGGCCCATCAGCATAATAGCCTGCCTAATTAAATTTTGTTACGCATCAGTGATTTATGTCATGTTTGCGGAAGCGAGCACCGTAGGGGTCCAGTGTTTAATCGAAAGAGCTAAGTGGTTAACCGCAAAGCCACCGTTAAGTGTACCGACAGCTGTTACTTATCGATCCGCCCCTGAACCTCCCCGGCGCTGCGCGTTTTTGAATGGGAATGTATTGATCGACCCGTGTCTAGTGTGTGTATCCATTTACCATCAGGCGACAGCTGTGCATCAGTTGTGCAACAGATGGTACCACACTTTCCACTATCAGTTAAACGTACAGTGTCATGAGTTTTTAAGTTTCCTGTTACGAGTATGTTAAACGCACACACACACACACTAAAATTAAAACAAAAGTCTTCTTATATTTTATTTATTTATTAACGTTTTTTCCAAGTCATCATAGGCTTTTAAAATATCACGGTGTAAACTTAACAAATGTTCAATACATAGTCGCTTATAGTAACATGGGTGAGGGGTGTAAGCAGGCGGGTGACGGTGTGAACAGGTGATTGAAGG